GGAAGCTTCAGGGATTTAAATATCCCTCATTTGACTGTAATTGGTCAGAGAGTGACCTCTGACCCCAGAACGTGCGTGTGCGTCGTGGCATCACACGAACGTTTGTGTGACCCTGGGGGTGGAGGCATCTATGGCCGCGACGGCATGGTCTGCGCCATCTTTATTTCGGGCAGACTGCCAGGAGGACCAAGTGGAGCAGCTCCCAACTTGCCGACGAGCAGGTAAGCTCAGTCTGTCGGTGCGGTCGTGCCGGTCGGGTGCGACCGCACTTTGTGGCGAGCCGGGGGCCGTGACAATAGCAAAGAATGTATCTCCTCGGATGCTGCTATAGAAGCTCTGTCCCTGTATCTTGAAAGTATAAATATAAGGAGTTTGGGAAATGCTGGCATTATATATTGGAGACAGAGTGATTTTTAGACCGTTCACTACTCTATACAAATCATGGAATTTCCAGCTAAGAATACCTTACTTTAAATAAAAATTTTGTTTTTCTTTTTTTAAATAGGGAAATTAAGAGTGGTAATAAGCTGGATAAACTCTGTAACCTAGATAATTGCTCCAATTTGTCATCCAAGATTAGAGAATTATTGAATACGAGCAAAACGGCCCCAATGCTTAGTGGGATTATGAAATGGGAAAGGGAGCTGAGCACAGAATTTGTATCCAGTGAATGGGTTACTGCTTTAAATCTGACAAAAAAAAAACCTATTTATAGTATTTCACTGTTTGAGAATGATCTAAAAATTTTACACAGATGGTATCTGACACCTGACAGGTTAAGTAAGTTTCAACCCAACATTAGTGATCTTTGTCGGAGATGCGAGAGGGAAACTGGAACTAATGGGCAAATATGGTGGGAATTACTGCCTATTACCTTTTGAAGGTCAAGTTAGAACATGAACTTACAAGTTTAACACAGTCCTATATTGAACTAACCCCCCAACTCTTTTTGTTCCATTTGGATTTCTCCAAATTAAAAGAAGAAATAAAAATGCTTATTGTGCATATATTAATGGTCACCAAAGTCTGTTTGGTGAGAAAATGAAGATCTGAGGCGATCCATAAGTGCACTGAAATAGCCTCACAGATTAACTATCAGAGATTCATTGAGAAAGGTGTATATGCTAGTCTTGAAAACTTGAGGGTTACATAATGATATATGGAGACTCTAGCCTCTGGTTACAGACTTGCCTGAGACCTGGAGGGACCAACTAACACCTCCACTCTCACGCCGGGACAGGTATGAATGGCTGTGTAAATGGAGTTTGATTTTCTACGTCAACGTATTTGTAATAGATATTTTTAATAGAATTACACTTTATCACTTGATTAGATTTAAAATAAGTTTTGGATAATGGAATGGGAAAGGAAACTGAGGGGAAGAGGGAAAAATGCCCTCACTTTAATTTTCCTAAGCTTTTGCGCAATTCCTTTCAGCATCATAAATAGTTGAATCACTTATTTATCACTGAGAAATTGACACAATGATGATACACAAGAAGAAAAACTGACCAGCTCAAAAAAAAAAAAAAAAAAAAATTTTTTAAATAATATCTTCCTTCCGAGAAAACCTATCCAGCCTTCCCTTAAAAAGTCCAGTCAAACCGGTCAAAAAATTACTTGTCTTGTATTATGTCATCTGGGTATTTATGAATGGGTTTTACAGTAAGACTAAAACAGCACATCCCCTCAAAATTTTCACACCCATTATTATTCTCCTCCCCAGTCCTCCCAACCAGTCACCTATTCCCAGAGTCCAATCAAATCCATCAAAAAGATGCAACTCAGTGGGAGGTGACCAAGGCTGCACATTAAATATTTTCTTTCTACACTCAGCATACATCAAAACACACATTCTACATCCATCCCTGGGCCTGCTAACACTTCCTCTCTCTGGCTAACTCTACAAAAATAAAAAAATTGTTACATTCTTCAGAAAAAGAAAAAATAAGTATTTTTCCAAAAAAATATTAAAAATATAAAAATAAAATCAGTTTGTATATCATAGGTTATGTTCGATAAAATAGCTATTAGTAGCAAGACGGCTGATAATAAGACAATGTCAGGTTTCACATAGTTATTAATATTTCCATTTGTTGCTGGATTTTCAACATAATGCTCTTGCACCACCCCAATTGTCAAAAGTTATTTAAAAACTTTAGTTAGCCTTTCACTTTCAGGACTTTCCAGGTGCTTGTGGGCAAAGTTTATGTCCTCATAAGTAGACATCTAATTTCTTTGTGCCTGTATGTGTTTTAGTCGAACAGACACCATTGCAAAATAGTCAATAGAGGGTTATCCAGAGGAGATTGGTGAGCATATCCCAAGGATCACGTAGCACAAACACTCAAAAATGGTCCATACAATCTTAAAAACATGCATTAATATGACAAGAACATAAAACATCTAAATATAAATATTAAAACTGTCTCTACACTAATAAACCATATGAAAATTCACTCAAAATTACCAGATCAGTTTTTTAATTACTTTGAATCCTTAGTACTGGGCTCTACACTTAATAATTAACCATTTACTACAAAAATGTAACATCTGGCCTTAATTTACAGTGATACACATTGGTAGGAAGAGATTACCTTAATAACACACTCACTTTAACTGAGTTTATTATTTATTTATTTCTATCTATCCTCTTTTGGGTCATTTTGCTGAAACATCTTCTAATAAGATATTCCAGCAAAATGCTTTTAGCTTACCAATATAATACATTCATTTCACAGATTACAATTGAGTCTTATAGATGTAGTACTATCAGTATACTTTTTTTTCTATTAAAAATACAATTTCACCATTGCCCTTTCCTCAATGAGGTACACTTGATGAACCTTACTTTTGGATAAATCCATCATCCCCTCTTTTTTTTTTTTTGGTAGTCAGCCACATATGTAAGATGTAACAAGCACTTTTCTTGCATAGTCCCATAGTATCACATTATCTATAGGAACAATTGCATGCAAGATTTCACTTTTGCCGGCATTTAACCTGTGTTTAAACACTAAAGGCTTATGGTAATTACGTAAATATTCGTTACTTTACTATTTAAACTAGTAGACAGTGGTCATTAGCATATAACACACCAATTCATTACAAAACATAGAATTCATACTCAACAAACATTGCAATATAACTCTCATTCCTCAAAACAGAAAACAAACGGCATAGTAGAAACATAGAATGGATACCCAGCAGATGTGGAAAACAAACACATTCATGGATGTGCAAATAAACCACAACTAATCCAAAATAAGTTAATAAAATAAGCAAAAAAAATTCCCACTCTGTCCTTTAGAGGAATATATAGAACATTAAAATAAGACAACATTTAAGTTTCCGTGTTTGGAGCATATTCAATTTTCCTCTTTTTTTATTTATTTTTTTATTTTACAAAAATTAGTTAATATAGATTAATTACACTGAAGATGAACAAGACACTAAAAAGATATGAACTCTGATATTGCAACGACAATATGTGCTGCATTCTGTAGATTAGACCAGAGATGTTAGAATGACTTCAACTCTCATGCTCTGAGCAACAGTTATTTAATGGGTTATTAGACTGGGATTTCTATCTATAGATTTGGGACAAATTAATTCAAATATGTTTTAAAAATAATGCAGTAACAGGAATATTCTACAGCAAATATTCTATTTGCCAGTTAAGCTGCACACTTCATAACGGGTATCCAAATCCCACACATTAACACAGTCACCGTTACACACAGAAAACATGGGTAGCAATTTATAAGCTGTACCATTTCATGTGTATCTCTCTTTTTTTTATATATGTGGAGGCCACTCTGGCCAGCAAAATCTGTAAAAAAATTATTAGTTTTTCTCTTATTTTTTCTCTTATACTTGTCAAGCTTGAGATGTTAAAAGTATTCATATTTTTTACTATTAATTTAGATTATTCCAATGATGTTATAGTTAACCAATTCTAACAATATACATATTAAATAAATAGTTGGAACAGATGACACAGAACTGATTTCAATTGTGTTCTTCTGGACTATGACATTTAACGCTTTTTTCACATAATGCCATTTTATAATTCATAACGAAAGTTTGAGTTGACCGGCCAGGTTGAATGTGCAAGGGCCATATAAATGCAGATTCGACCACTGTCTGTGATTTTCTCATCCAGCCCCTTGAGTCTACAGTTGTGGTCACATGGAATAAAAATCTCAGCATCCCATTCAACCAATTTCACCCAGTTCACAATGTAAAAGAACACATATAGTCAGAAATACTCACTTACTTACTAACAGCCCAAAATGCTTTTTGTTTTTTTAAGCTCAGGGCATAAGAAGTTTGCCCTGAGAGGCGGGGTGAAACAAATTGCTTCAAGAGCGTTACAAAACCACAAGGTTGGGGTCTCGCTGTCTCCTACCCACCCTGGACTTATGACAAGGTTTTAGGTTCCAGTGGGTGAACCTCTGTTCCAAGAGAGCAAAGCAGGAACAAGCTCTTAAAAGAGCTTAGAAGTGATTATCCAAGGGAGCATGCAGAACATAGCAATCCCTTGTAGTGAAATAGCAATTCCCCCAATAAGAGACAGGACTCTAGATTGAGGGTTATGCAGGAACAGAATGCACTGAGGCATTTTATATACTCTTATATACACATTTCTCCACAAGGTTACCACCCACGTGGGCCTTGTGGAACAACCAATCATAAAACGACACACAGTTAAACACTCCCATTCATTCCAGCAAAAATCCTCCCCTCTGACTGTAATATAATTACTGAACACAATGGGTTAACGTAATTATTACAGGCAGGAAAATACAGTTTGTATACCTTTTTTATAACTTTAAAAATATACATCCAATCTTAATAAAACTTACATAACCAGCATAATTATGGGCACAACATATCCAAAATTCGTGAGAATTGGTCCAGAGGTTCGGGAGATAGCTGGAAGTCATATATATTTTTTTTAATTCATATTTTATTGAAAGTTTTAAGGTTTCAGGGGTACAGAAAAAAGAGGAGGGAGTGGAATGGGAAGGAGAGGGTGAACAGTAAAGGATGCCATGGTTATATGTACAGTGGATTCCTCAGATGGCACATTATATATATACAAGTACAGGTTCAGGCATTTGGATATATCAGGCATACACATGTGTCTACATCGTCCTTTTACATTTCAGCTAAGAAAAGTTTTCCCCAGTATCGTAATCTGTTTGTTTCTGATGCTATTGGTGTCCAT